TAATTGGAACTGGGAGATGCAGGGCACTGATACTGGTCTGTACTGGTAGCTACTGGGCCATAATACTGGCCTGTACTGGTGGAAACTGGAAACCCCTAACTGGCCTGAACTGGGAGCTACTGGGACACAACACTGGCCTGTATGGGTGGGAACTGGGAGCTCCTGGGCTATAATACTGCCCCATACTGGTGGGAACTGAGGTTCCTTACCTGGTCTCAACATGACAGGGCAGGGCAATGATGCTGGCCTGTGCTGCTCTGAATGAGGAGCTATTGGAACATGGTACTGCTCTGTGCTGGTGGGAACTGGGGCCCCAGAACCAGTCTAATCGGTGAGCTACTGGGTCACAATACCGACCTGCATGGGTGTGAATTGGGGCCCTTACTGATCTGAATTGGGAGTTCCAAGGCAGTGATAGTGGCTTGTACTAATCTAAACTGGGAGCTAGTGAGCCATAGTATTGTCCTGTGTCAGTGATCTTAACTGGGAGATGCAGGACAGTGATATTAGTTTGTACTGATAGGAAATGGGACTCTCTTAAGTGGCCTGCACTAGGAGCTACAGAGCATGTGGCAGAAGGCCACTTTTGTTTCTTCCCATAAACTCTGCTCTGTGACAATTTGGTTAGGATGGGCCCAGCAGAGGATACACACCTTACCCTCTCTCTTTAGGTAACCTGAGCTGGATGCATTCCTGAGGGAGGGGGGAAACCTGCTCCCTCTGCCTACATGACTGGCATCACACACCTGGGTGAGGGGCTTGCTCCCTGGGGAGCGAGGAACTGCCAGGCTGCCCAGCAAATAGTGATGCATTTCAAATTGGTTGGCTGACAGCCAACAAGCGCTGGCCTCCATTGGACCAGGTAAATGAGGTCACAAGGGCTATACAAAGTTAAGGACTGCCCAGGAGGAAGGGGCAGCAGCCATGAGGAAGGCTCAGAGAGAGAGAAGAGCTGAACCATCTGAAACTTGTTCTCTCTCTCAAAACTCATGATCAAGGAACTGCCTTCCTCCAGAGGGAATCTCAAAGGCTACTCAGCCATGAGAGTGTGCTCTATGGGATTTCTCTGATATTGCTCTACCCTGTACCCTATTCCAACCCTACCCCTTGTAACCAATAAAGTTCTCCTTTGTACCTAGTGTGGGAGACTTATTGGGAGTGGGTCTAGATTATGCCTTGGGGGTCCCCTTGGTTCGGCTGACTAAGGGAGACCACTCCTTGTGCTTCTGACTGAGGGAAGCATCCCAAGTTCTTGAAGTGAATCAAGTACCCTCAAGGGCTACTAGGCCTGCGTTTCCCAGGGTGCGCAGAGCCAGAATCAAGCCCAGCCCTGGGTGGTGGCAGTGGAACCCCCAGGCTAGTAGGTGTGCTCAAGGAAAGGGGTAGGCCAGACATGAGGTGCCCCCAGGGAGCCACTGGGAGCCTGGAAGGTGGTCAGGCACAGTGAGGTGGGTGGCTCAATACAGGAGCACCCCCTACTGGCCCACCACAGAGCATAGTACTGGCCCATACTGGTAGGAAGTGTGGGGTCACAACACTACCCTATACTGGTCTGATCTGGGAGCAGTGGGACAATTTTACTGGTGGGAAATAGGGCCCCATACTGCTCTGGACTGGGAACTATTAGACAATGATACAGGCCTGTACTGGTGTGAACTGGGTACTGTGGGGCAACCATGTTGTCCTGGAGGGACTAAGCCTGTACTAGCCAAAACTGATCTGTGCTAGTGGGAGCTGTGGGGCCATGGCACTGGTCTGTACTGGTGGGAACGGGGAGCTGCTGATGCCCAATACTGCCCTGCTAGCTCTCCAGCACCCAGGCCCTGCTCCCAGGCTCCACCCCTTAAGCCCTGCCCACAGCACCAGGCCCTGCCCTCACCTGGAGCTGGGAGGCGAGATCGTCGCATTGGATGCTGAGCGTCTCCTGCTGGCCCTGACGCTGCTGCAGCTCTTGCCCCAGTGCCAACGCTTGCTCCCGCAGTAGGTTCAGCTCCTGCGTCCGCGAGGACTGGATCTGGGTGGCATAGACCAGGTGGGGCAGGGGGGGAGACCATGTTCCTAACTGCATTACCTCATCCTTCCCATAATATTCCCTGCCAAAGTTGGTTCAATCCCATATCCACCCCCCAACACCCCAATTTAGCTGGTCGATCCTATAATATTCCCTCCTTGCTCCAGGCTGGCTAGTCCCATAATATTCCCTTCTCCTGCCTAGGTCTGATCCATCACATAATACTCCCCTCCCCAAGACTACTAACAACATTTCCTCCCAAAGCTGGTTCAATCCCATAATATCCCCTCCCACCAAACTGCCCCATCCCATAATAACCTGCCCACAGAATGTCTCATCCCACAGTACTGCCCCTCCGCCAGACTGCCCCTTCCCATAACATAATCTGCTCCCAGACTGCCTCATTCCATAATATCCCTAACCCATCCTGCAGCTCCCAGTCTCCCTCATTAAGGCACTGGGAAGCATGGAAGAAAGTAGGCATGGGTGTGGAACCCTGGAGTTTGGGGGTAGGCAGGGGAAGGAGACAGAGCACAGAAAGCTGAGGGACTGGACGTGGTGGGATGCACCCAGCTCTGGGGTTGGTATACAAACGGCCGAGCATAACGCTCTATGGGGATGACACATGAAGCCAACTCTGGGGAAGAACAGCAGAGTATAACACCACAAAGGGAGGGCCAGGCTGCACTCAACTCTGCGTGATGCTGGCAAGGGGTGTGGAATGGCCGAGTATAACACCCTACAGGGCAAACAGATGGGCCCAGCTATGGCTATGGTGATGGCTGAGAAACAGCCAAGTACAATGGACCATGGGAAAGGCCACAATGTGCCCAGCTCTGGGGGTGCTGGGTGAAGAGTAGTCAAGTATAACACCCCACAGGGAAGACCAATGAGTCTAGTTCTGGGGGGTGCTAGAGAGAAACTGGCCAAAATCCCAAATGGAACACAGACATGTCCAGTTCTGGCGTAGAAACAGCAGGAAAATGGTTGAGTATAAGGCCCCATATGGAAGGCTGTGATGTGCCCAGCTCCAGGGTGGGGGCAACACCCACCTGCTCCAGGGCAGCCAGGCTGGTGCGCAGGGCCTCATTCTCCGTCAGGATTGTCTCCACCTGCTCCTGGGTCTCAGCACTTTGGGAGGCCGCCTCGAGAGAAGGGGGCAGAAAAGCAGGAGAGAGACAGAGAAAAAGAAAAGGAGTTAATACAGAACCAAAACACAGGGCACCAGACCGGCGGGGTGGGCGGGGCAGGTACAGGGGGATTCCTGGATTCCCCCTGAGAAGAGAGCTCTGGAAAGTGAATAATAGCATCAAAGGTCCCAAAGAAGTGAGAAAGTGGGAGGTGGCCCAGGAGATGAGGCATGGAGGGGACCCAGGAGTCCAGGCCCAAACAGGAAAGCCACGTGTACAGCTCTACCACACACACAGGAACCCAAGTGTCTGGGCTTTCTGCACCCCGGACCACAGAGAACCCAGGTGTTGGAGCCTCACCTGCTCCTGCAGGGCCTGCATTGCCACCTCATGCTCCTGGCTCCGCATCTGTATCTGCTCCTGGGCCTCAGTGCAGCTCTGGGAGCAGGAGAGGTTGGTCAGGATCACACCCAGATCCCATCGCCCCCAGCTCAGGAGTCCCCAGGTTCCTCCTCTCCCCAAACCAGGCCAGGATCAGGGCCCCCACCCCCTCCAACCTGCGTGGCTGCCTCCAGCTCCTGCTGCAGCCGCTGGTTGCGCAGCTGCAGGCCCCGCAGTTCCTCATCCTGGCGCTGTCCTAGCTCTGCTAGCTTCATCCTGTGGGGACAGAAAGGGGTGAGAACCCAGGCGCCTGGGTCCCCTACCCCACCAATGACAAGTTGCCAGGGGCCCCAGATCTGGAAGGGCCCCCAGCCCCTAACCCCAGTGCAAGCCAGGGAGCCCTAGAGCTAGGAAGGAAACGAAGGCATCTGGGCCCCAGCCCCACTCCCCAACAAGGTGTCAGGGGAGTGTCAGGGGAACTCAAGCATCTAGGCACCCAGCATCCTTCCCTCCCCCTCCCCCCCCCCACAAATTCCCCTCTTAGACCGTTGCTTTGGGCATAGGTGAGGAGGGAACCCAGTTACCAGAATGGCCTAGGTTCGGTACACCTGCCCTGTTCTGCATCGGTGCACATGCAGATGCCAGAGAATCCCCCCTCTCACCCTCACCATTGCCACCTCAGACGCCTGGGTGCCTGGCACTGACCTGCTGTCATTGTACAGAGCCTCCTTCTCTGCCTGAAGCCGCAAGAAACTGAGTAGAAGAGAGAGTCACATGGCACCAAGAGAACCCAAGTATTTGGCTCACGGCCCCAAGAACTCAAAACATCCAGGGCTTT